TCCCTGCTGAAATTCAACCACCAGGAAACTGATTCAGTCTGTGACAGGTCATGTCCACAAGACTAGAATCCATTCCCAGTTGTAACCTGCGTATTCGTTACAGCCAGAGGACACAATGTTGGCAGATCTTCTTACTGTTTCCCTGGTGCCAACCTGCTCTGCACTTGCTCCTGGAGAAATATGGTAGGTCTTGATAATAACTGATGTCACAAACAAGCACAGTAGTTTTCCATATCAAAGTTTACTTTGAAGTAAAGGTCTGGTCAATCTGGTTCAGTGGTGGATTTGGTGTCCTGCTGCTGAAGTGGATGCATACACAGATTCAATGAGTCAAGTGCCAAAAGAGCCCATTTATTTCCACTGACTGTAAGGGAAAAAAGTGCAACTAACATAATGGTAGCCCTATGAAGTCAGATGAGATGAATGCCACCATTGCTAAGGATCTTATTTTCTTTTAAGTGTCACGTGTAGGTGAGTTGCTATAGATATATTACCTCTTAACCTTGGTCAAACTTTGAGTTTTCTTTTTCCTTAAGTAAGGGAAGACAATCCAGCCCAAATTCTGAAACTACAGTATGTGTCTGACTGTTGGAAAGCTACACCTGAGAGGTGTAGTAAGGGTTCATTGTCAAAACTGAAGATGTTCTTAGATAGAGATTCTGCTAGGATCTTGTCCTGGTGTATTATTTTTGATCATTTCATGTCTTGAATGATGGAGATGGTAAAGTTGCAAACATTTAGTTACAAGGGGCAACAGTACTCTGGAGGTGCAAGATTAGAATTTAATTCACCTTGTGAATTGCAGAACTGGTCTAAGTACAAAGGAGCTTATCCTACAGAAAAAATGCATGGTGTTACAATCATAAAAACACCTGATAAAGAACGACATTTAGAGAAGTCAGGAAGACAAAAAGAGGAAGTTTTGTAAGCACATTAGTTGATTAGCCTAGAAAAATTACCACTAATAGTCTACTAAAATCTCACACATATTTTCTGAGGAAGGAAATAAATTGTTTTCTAAGATGCATGTTGTTGGGCTTTGATTGCAAAAAGGGGGATATGGGAAGTTTGGATGTTAGGAAATGTTGCTAATGGCATGCACTGGAATAGATCATCTAAAAGGGTACAAGGATCACCATCCTTGAGGGAGGTCTGTAAAACATCCTAGATAATCATAGAACTATAGAATCATAGAACTATTCAGATTGGAAAAGACCCCTGGGATCACCAAGTCCAACCATCATTGCTACTCTACAAAGTTCTCCCCTAAACTAGACCCACCAACACCACATCCAAATGACGCTTAAACACATCCAGGGATAGTGGCTCAACCACCTCCCTGGGCAGCCTGTTCCAGTGTCTAATCACTTTTTCTGTGAGGCTTTTTTTTCCCTAATGTCCAGTCTAAATGTCCCCTGCTGCAGCTTGAAGCCCTTCCCTCTTGTTCTATCAAAACTGCTCAAAGGAGGATTTTAAGTAGAATTGGAGATGTAGGAAAGACTAAATAACCTTCCAAGATGATCCATATACTATGAACTTCTGACATGGGATTCCGTAAGGTGCACAAGTGCTCTGCACATGATTACTTTGTTTTATTGCTTAATTTCTGCAGCCTCTATTAAGACAGTGAGTTCCTTTGCTGCTGCAATGTAATCTGGTAGATTTGACACGTCCCGCTGACACTTCCCAGACTGTTGTTGCATGATAAACTTGACAAAGTTCACCTCAAGGCTTTTGCCTGGTTGGGAAATAGGTCACAGGTTTCACCTCAAGGTCTCTCTTCTATTTTCGTATCAACTCAACATAAGGTGCCCTATAACCCTTGGCAGTTAGAAGCCATTCACTATTATAAAGAAGTCTCTGATGTTGAATCAGCACCTCGGACTGTGCCAAAGACAAGCTGTGAGCCTGAGCAGCCGAGCTGCAATGAGCCAGAGCATAGAACATCCAGCAATGATAGAATCAGGGTAACAAAATTCATGAAAATGACATTAAAAAAACTTCCCTCAGAACCAGTGGCCACGCAACCAAATAATCAGCATTGCACCAGTGGAACTTTACAGCTTATGGCAGTAGAAAATTTGACTTGATTTCTCCTGCACAGTAAAAAAACAAATTAACTGTGATCCATACTGAAAATTTCCTATAGCAATAACAATGGTTTATTCACCTCCTGTGTTTGTAATGAACTACCAAGGCTTTCATTAGCACAGTCACTGATGTGTCATGCCCAGTATTCCTGGCAGACTTGTTATTTTATGTAACACAATGTGCAGGGTACAAAAAAAAAAAAATTAAAAAAAATTGGTCAACCTCCCAGTGATGCACTGGGCTCAGGAAACTCAAAAGGACAATTGTTGCTAAATATATTAGCTTAGAAAAAAATATTATTTGGAATTTAACCCTCAGTGTGGTGGCATTTTTTAGGATTGCCAGAGAATGCAACCATTTCACAAGAGAACTGTGTTGAAATAACATACATATGGGAAATTTTGCTTGGAGAAAGACCTAAGATTTTTTCCCATGTTATTTTAAGGGATTAATATCCCCTTGTTCACAAAAATGTCTTTCTCCTAACATGTCTTAACATGTGCTAGGTTAATACCCATTGCTGCTCTAAGGGGGACATTGGTTGGTATACTAATGCTGTTACAAGTTGCCTGCTGTTGAGTAACAGATCCTGTGGTTTCTTTCTCCAGCACAAGCTTGGTGAGAAGAAATGTCTACTTTGGAAGATGCCTTCAGACAAAAGATGATCCAGATGGGAGCCAGCTTTTCTGTACCCTTTCTCTCACAGTACGTGCTGTGTGTCAGGAGAGCAGGCAGTGGTAAAGTCTTCATGGTCCATAGTGCTGCCACCTTGGAGAGATGATGCTTTAAACTTGGTGATAAAAGAGAATCAGGGTGAAAGAAAAGGTCTGGTTGCTGGTGCAGGTTGATTTAGCAGCTGTCTGGGAAATTCCCTTTTGTGCTGCAGTTGGGAGACAGTCTTTATTATCTAATGACAATCTTTATTATCTAATGTCTCAGAAGTGTCAAAAGAAGGGTAGTAACAGACCTTTCACTGACATGGTTGGCAGCTGTACAACTCTTACAGCTGTAGAATTGGGATTTTAAGAGAAAGGTAAGCGCTGACACTGGAGCCAGGCAGCCTGAGCAGCCTGAATACCTATATCAATGGAGCCAACGGAGTGTAGATGTCTAAAATGGAGGGCTGTGATCACACTCCGAAAATGCATACATTGTGTATTCACTAAGAGGCAGACAAAGGACACCAGCTCAGCTGGAGCCTTTTTCATGGTAGATACCTACAATTAGGGGAGGCAAATGCCACCCACGTGGCTTTGTTGTACTTGGGATGAAAAATTGCACTCTACTAACATATTTATCACTGCTTTATATGTGTTTTCAGGAAGTGCAGCAGGGTCTTGTACTCTCAGAAGAGAGAACAACTTGAGATGAAATTCAACGCAAACTTTCCAAGGACATCCATGGGTGATTTTCTCTTCAGATGCCTTTGATACCTCCTTCAAAATAAATATTGGGTTTTTTAAATCATTATGTCTATCTATCTGCACTAAATTGGTTTGTTAGATTTGACTCTGCTGATACTGAATTGCATTCATTTTTTGGTACAGTCACAGATTTTGTCCCATCATATATTCACTGATAAACTTTTATCTTCTATTGTCTTATTATGGCCAAGAGGGAAAGAATAAATGAAAATACAAAATTAAGAGCAGAAAAAGGGAAGTGTCATAGTAAGGAGACTCATGGACCCATACATAGCAAAAATTAAATAAAAATAAGATCTGTCAAAAGACAAGTATTATAACTAGATGAAGATGGAGGAATGTATAGATCTTTCTTCATAAGAAAAGGAAAAAATGGACAAGTCTTTAGAACCTATTTTGGTTCCACTGAATCATGAAATACCTAAATGAAAATCAATTACGTGAACTTTATGCCTTTGAATCTGCATCATTGCAGGGTGACACACCATCTTGGCCCTCGGTACAGCAGCTGATTCATGTGGTTGATAAATAACTGCTGATCTTCCCAGAAAAGTTTCTGTGAATCCAGGTCCAGCCTCACCGAGGGATTTAAATGTCCAGCTCTGCAAGAGGATATTACAGGCTCTGAGTTTACCCTACAGAGAACAAAGTCAGCTGAGTAGCTATGGAGGGATTTTTTGGCAGTTGACAAGTGGGTGCTTAGAACAGCTGATAGCAAATGTTAAAGAGAGAAATGTGTCTGCAATCTATTTTTCCTGGATTTAGGAGTGTTAAGGATTCAGTCTTTCCCCCCTCCCAGTTCTTGCACCCCTTACTCATGCTGGCAGGTGTCCATTGTGTCCAGGCACTTCTCTTGCAGAGAAATTCCCAAGTGTCTTCACATTGATTCAACTGTAACCTTGTACAAATGGCACAGGTTTTCCTTCCAGCCAGAAAGTGAACTGAACCCAGGAATCACCTTCTGAATATTGGTATGAATCTGTTTAAGTCAGTGACAAAAAAGAAAAGTGGGAAAACTTTTTCATCCCAGCCAGCAGTGCCTGACTTCTTCCATTTCTGAGATGTTGGGGCAGAAGCACATGGATTATCTAGCAATTCCCTGTTACATGGCTTTGTTCTTCTCTATGGTGGTGAGAAAATCAGTGATGCCCCTGAGGGGTGAATGTCTATGGGCATAAAATAGGAATTGCTGTTTTCTCTGAACCTGCAGGAATACAGTTTTCCAAGCAATCACCACTTACCTACTGGAAGGCTTGGCTAGCAGGGTCACAGGACAGCTAATTCGTCTAAAAAGAAAAATACCTGAAGTTAGCTGAAGTTCCCCTGGTTCCTTCAGTCATTTGTCCACCTAACCAATATTCATTCCCTCTCTCTGTCAACTTTGACTTTTCCTTCACCTACATGGAAAATTCCCAGAGAAGCCATGTTAGCCAAGACCAAATTTGCAATCACTGACGTGTTTCTTGTTCAAATAGTAGAGAAATCCTGAGCAACTGGACATGTGGGAGCACAGAACAAACCCTACCACTTCACCAATGAGTACATTTGTTTTCTGACTGACCTGTCAATTGAGGATTGTGCTACAGCCCTTTAAAACCTGATTTGTTTCAGACAAAAAATGAGTTGGCCCTGGGATCTTGGCAATCAAATATCCAGTGCTGTCTCTAGTGTAGCTAAATTAGAGAGCTGTTGATAGAACACTGGTTTATATCATCTGTGAAGAATCACCCCTCAGCTCAAAAACTACTTTTCCCCTCTTGTTCCCATCAGATATATTCTTCATTGCCTGTCCTTACACTTACATCAGGTTGGCAGTCATCTCTCTGTTTCTAGGTACATAATTCTAGAAAAAAACAAACCCTACCTTCCAGTGTGATTTGGCACATAAGCTAAAATCATGCCTAGAAACTCTGCCCAAAACCCAGCTTGTCTGATATGCAGGGCACTGGATTTTGCCCTTTTTTGGTTCGTGGTGGTTTATGAGGCCTGGGTATACAGACCTCTGAGCACTTGGCCCAGTGCTGGGGTGTTCACCATCAAGCCTGAGTAGGGTGGAATGGAGCTCATCTTGTGGAAAAGTGCCATAATAAGCTGGACACCACTTTGATCTGTGTTGTGGTGGACATTTCTGAAGAGGCCCAATTGACATGTTGCTGCTCTTACTCCCACCTTCTATCTCCTCTTTCCTTGTTATGCTTATATGGTGGATTTAATTTGTCCATTCTGCCAATTCCTTCTACTTCTTGTGCAGCATATCTGTTCTTTTGTTGCCATCTCCTTATGTTTCCCCAGTTGATGGTTCTTCTACACACAGGACAAGCCCCTCCCTGCTGTCTCAGAGCAGCACAGAAGGTGTGGGAGCCCCGGGAATCATCACCATGCAAGCAATTAATAACAACACAGCAGGGATGATCATGATTTTGTTCACATCAGACAAATAGCTCTGTACATCCCTTTCAGATTTTTCCCCTGTTTATATGTAAAATCTTTTGGTTTAACTTATTTCAGCTGATTTTGAATGTTATTTTTTTTTCTGTCTGTACGAAAATGTAATTGATTTATTGCCTTCTGGTGGCATCTAGTTCCAAAATATGAAATGAGTGATGGGTAGTAGTTAGGAAGAGACAAATGGGGAGTCCCAGGATGCAAATATAAGTGTATTAACTGACTCTCAAGGGGAATGGCCAACTTTCTCCTCTCCGGGCACATTTCATTTGGATGTTGTTCACATATGCCAAGTCTATTCCACTGGTCAGCTTAAAGCTCTGGCTTGCCTGGCATCCTATCTCTGGCACAGACCATTCAGGAGTACCCAGGGGAGACTAGGAATCAGGGAACCATTTTGCAGCACTTCTCCAGCCTATTTTCCTGGCTTGTAGAAATTTTCCTTTGAGAGATTCCTTCTCACCTTATCATTACTGGTACAAGCAATGTTTGGTCATCCAGGTCCTAACTGTAAGGAAGAAGTGAGTAAAGAGGGAATTTCCTGTAGACATAAATGAACACGTAGGCAACTCCCTGCCACAAGTGCCAATCTGGGACACATGGAAGCACTTGTAAGCTATTCATAGAGCTCTGCTTTCCCTAGTTCCCTGAGGTGTGTAATATATGATTTCTAGGTTGGAAATCTGCTTGGTAGGGCCAGAGAAACTGGTCACTTATGGTCATTGAATCATAGAAACACAGAATGGTTTGGGTTGGAAGGGATCTTAAAAATCACCTACTTCCAAACTCCCTGCATGGGCAGAGACACCTCCCCCTGAGGTCTTCAACCCTCAGTGACTGCAGTAAATAACAGGTTTCACTGAACAGAGTACAAAGAGCATCAGCTGTATCTTATATTAAACTCCACTAGGTTTGGCTAAATTCAGGTTTTGATTTGTCTGTCACATGGTTCCTCATTGAAATCCCACTGTAATTAGAAGGGTAAAAACAATAATGAATTTGTTCCCATTTCTTTGTTTTTCTCTTTTTTTCACTGGTTCTGTTGTGTAAATAAATAATGAATTTGTTCCCATTTCTTTGTTTTTATCTTTTTTTTCACTGGTATAGTTCTGTTGTGTAAATGTATTAAAGAACAGAAGGAAATAAGGCTAGTTATATGGAAAATCAAGAACATATGATGTCTAGAAAGAATAAGGACTTGGGGAGGAGAGGCTGAAGACATCTGGATTTTTATTTAAACAGTCTTCAGCTTTGTATCTGAATCATCTTTTGAAAAGCAACTGTATTTAAAAAAAAAACTCTTCTTAACTGTCTAATGCCATCCAGGTGTGTATCAGAATTTATCTTAATGCTGACATATTGTCAAAGTGAAAAAACCTTGAATTAATTTAAGTGCAATTTAGAAGTTGACACCAGTGCATTTTATAAGGAGAAAAAAAGAAGAGCCAGAGAAGCAGGCTGATTTTAAATCCCTTCCTTTCATGACTTGTGCCTGGGGAATTAGTTTCTGTCTCTGGATCAGATTTTGCACAGTTTGAAGTCAGAGCTGCCTGATTTAAGGATGAAGGTACTACCAGCCATTAAAGCATGCAGAGATCTGATACCAGAGGGGTTAATCTGAGGCATGTGTACAAGTCCTGCTGTGATAAAAGCAGAGGCAGTTAGACCTTTTGCTCTGAAAGACACTTTGGCACTGCCCAGAGATTCATTTTGTCTGCAAAATCAAGCATGTAATTTCCCTTCTCCCCCTCTTTCCCCTTCTGTCTCTGTCTCCGGCCAGCCCTGTGGCTCAGAACCAGCAGCCAGTCTCCCTGGTGACAGCCAGGACAGCTGACCTTCACCAGGGATTTCACTGCAGGACATGGGCTAGCAAGCCCCCAAATTGCCTTTTTTTCCTGCTGGTCAGGAGTGTGGGAGAGTAAGCCTGGAGAAGCCCTGAGACACCTCTGTGCTTGAAAAAAACAAAAGTGAAGAATTGCAGTAAGTTAAAAAAAAAAAAATTAAATCATTAAAAAACCCACCCCAAGCTCCCCAAATTATCTGCCCCTCAGCTTCCAAATTGCATCTGTATAAAGCCTCTGGCTTGCTTGCAGGGTTATGTCAGATTCACACAGTGGTAAGAGAGATTAAAAGTGATCCCCACCATTCATCGGTAACACCAGCTCGTGTGAGCCCGTGTAAATACGGGGGTTGGTCAGGCAGCCTTGGCACCAGAAACAACTCTCAGTCCCCACAGAGCCACCAGAAGGGACATTTTTACAGTTTTTCAAACAAAACAGAGGTACTTCAGTTTGTAAAATGTGGCTTTAGTTGCCAGTTTTATTTACTACTTTCGGATGTCACCAGCTGCTGGTGAAGCTGAGCGTGAGCAACTTACCAGCCTAAGCACCAGATCACTTTGCTTTTTCTGTCCAGCTGAAGACAGAAATCCTGTAGAAGCTTTCACTCCAACCTGGGTGCCGAGTGATGAGCCAGGAGTTAAAAGAAGTGAGGGTAAAATTCCTGAGGCACTCCTAAAGACTTTTCAAAGCATTTAAAAAAGCCTCTTAAAACAGGCAGCAGAGCTCGGACGCTGTTAGGGGGGGGGGGGGGGGAAATAAAGGAAGAAAAAACTTTGGCAGGCATGCAGTGTCTTACATCAAGCTAGCAGTCAGCATCTATGTAGATGTTCTTTCCTCCTTTTGTGCAACACCCCTTCCCTCCTACAGACCACCCAAAGCCCTATAAATAATCCAAGGACTGTATTTTTTCTCCAGATTTCTCTTCAGACCTCAAAGGAAAAATATCAGGCAGA